CGGCTGATGGTCGAAGCGGCGGCCGTGGCGGCAGCGCGGACGCGGACGCGGCCGGCGGTCGACGTCGAGACGCCGTTCTTGCGGAGCGCGGCCGCGTGGTCTTCTTCTTGCTGCTGCTGCGCTTGGCGCGCTTGGCCCGGTACTCCTCCTCGGCCGCTTCTTCGGCCTCGAGCTCGTCGCCAAAGTGGGCGCTGAGGAACTCGTCGGCATCGCCGCCGTCGGCGCGGATGAGGCGGTAGTGCTGCTGGGCCGAGCCGCGGGGACCCTTGCGATTGCACCTCACGTCGGGGAAGGCCTTGCGCACCAGCTTGCCGAAGTAGGTGTGCGAAATGGGAGTGGCCACGCTCTGCCTCTTGCAGGCCTCGAGGTAGTGCGCGAACACGCTCCTCTTGCTCACCGAGGTGGTGGTGGCATGCTTGTAGTTCTCGCGCAGCCTGTTTTTAGATTGAGCGGAAGAGCGAAGAAAAAAACACGTCAGCTTTGGGCTCTCTCGCGGAGAAGAACGAAAGCGAAAGCGAAGGTTCGGGCGAACAACGAAACGCGACGTGGGGAAGAGAACAAAGAGCGAAGAAAGAAAGCGACAGTTGAAGGAGAAGACCGAGTAACGGTACCAAACTATGACCTGGGTTCGGTTCTCGAGGTGAAGCGCGGAGCCTTCCATTTTGCGTGTATGGTGGTGGATATGGTGAAAACGGTGGAGATGGTGGTGGTGCCCAGGAGTGCGTTGGCCGGATGAAGCGGGTGGTGGAGTGGGGGCCGCTATCCGTGGGGTGGTGGAGTGCTCTGGTGGTGGTGGGTGAAGGTGACGAGTGAGAAAGACTCGACTGCGGTGGCGGTACTTAAAGCAGTGCGCAGCTATCTCGCGGCATGTCACGGGTCGTCACGTGCGCGGAAACGAGTGGCGGTTGCAGTTAATTTGGCGTGGGCTAACATACCGGGAGGAAACCGGGCATAGTACGGCCCGCGCAGCCTGGCGTGCGTCGAATCGGTAGAGATTTCGCGTATTTCGATACTGTACCCGTTCTTTCTGCGGCTTGCCCTCTTGCGATCCATCGAATTTCGTTGGCTTCGCCTGTCAATCAGGCCAGAGCGAGTCCGAAATTTCGCGAGCCGACTGGTTGGCGTCATCGGCTTTTCGACGGCAGAGACACCGTGGCCGCACGCCGTGCGAGCTGATCGAACCGGCGGAGAACGAAGGAACACACGGCCCACCCTTTGGCACAACAGAGACGGAGTCTCTTCGCGCGACAACGCTGCGACGTCGCGTTGGCCTTCTATGTAGCCACACACGAGGTACGGGGTTAGCTAAAGCAAGAGGTAATGATGATCATGGCGACGGGTGGAAAATCGACAGAGAGGAAGAAGAAGGACGCCAAAATAGAGCGAACGAATGGGCGCGACTGACTCGCACCTTGACCAGCGGCGTAGTAGGTGATGAAGCAGCGGCTTCTACCGGTGTTGACGACGGTCGCTGGACTCGAGGGTTGAGCTCATAGAAGGACGAGTGAGTGGGCCTTGCCAGCGGATATGGCGGCCGGGGCGATGTGCTGGTGCAGGAGGGCCGGCAGCGAGGTCGTGGTGGCGGTCGGGCTGGCGCGGTCCTGCCGATGACCGTTGGCGAGCTGGCCCTGGTCGCCGCTCCCAAAGGCGTAGAGGCGCGGACCCTCGCCCGGCACGTCCACCAGAGCCAGTCCATGCTTGGCACCGCACGCGATGTCTATTTCCACGCTTGTCTGTCAGTCATGTGTGTGCAGGCAACACTCATGCCCAAATGAACGACAAATGCGTAGATAGACACGGCCACACGACACGCGTGAAGAGCGAAGGTGGTGGTACCGCGCACGGTGCCATCGCTGGGAAAGGTGACGGCGGTGGGGGTGAGGCGGTCGGTCTCGTCGCCCAGTCCAAGTCGTCCGTTCTTGCCCAGGCCGAAGGCGAGCAGCTTGCCCTCTCTCGTCAGCAACAGGCAGTGTCCCTCGCCCGCCCGCACCTCTGTGATCTCCTCGGCGAGGCCGAGCGCGAGCGCAGTGGGGAGGAGCACGAAGCGGGCCTGGCCCTCGGTGAACTTGGGGAATTCGGAGTAGTCGAGGCCGAAGAAGAAAACACGGCCCTCATCATCGAGCACCAGTGTGTTGGCGCTGCCGCAGGCCATTGACACGATCCGACGGTCGGCCAGCGCCTCGATCATGGTCGGCC